TCATATCATATTGCTCTGTTCTCGACTTCATTCCAGTTCGTCGGAGCTCGAATTCTGGTGTCCTACAGCGTTCGAGACGTAAGCCGTTGTATCTTTGGGGACGAGACGCCTGTACCCGTCAGCACTATACAGGGTGTTTTCGTCTTGCGGAAAGAGCAATCGCCTCGGCAATTTTTCCGCTTCTCTTTTGTAATTTCGATTCTGTTTTAGTTCATTTTGTAAGAACTGAAATCATCATCTTCAGTTCATAGGTTCCCGTTGTAATTCAAACACAACTTGTTTGTAACATCCATGGGCGGCAATATGCAGACCTGGACGAGGAGGATTAGACTCTATATGGAGAGAATTAAAGAGGGTTATACTTCTGTAATTGAAGTGTTTTCAATACCGTAAATATGAACCAAAAACATTAAAGTGGAATGTGAATTTTATTGTCGTTATTTGGGAAATAAAAATAATTGACATCGTCCAAGGGGTCATTTTCTCAACTTTATTTGACGATTTTTAGTGCTATTATTTTTCACAAATGTTAATATAATTTTTGTCGCTATTTAAATAAAATATTTCTTTATTAAAAACAACACTAAAACATAATCAATCAATAAAATATGTCCTGATTAAAAATAGCGCTAAAACACAATCAATCATAGAACTACGTATAATTAAAAATAACAGTTCTCACGATTCTACTCTAGGATTTAGTTGTCATTTGAACCACATTCTATATATATGATTTTTATCTTATAATATAAATAAAAATAATAAAAAAATAAGTAATTCGTATAATTTTATATGTCAAAGTATTAACAATATGTGCCTGCAATAAATAGTTTCGGTTGAAATTAGCCAACGGATATTCTAACAGAAATCAACACCAATTAAAATATTACGTTGGAACCAAATTCTCTTCGAATTTTAGATCCAATAGCCATTTTTTCAATGGTTTATTGTTGTTTTCCGTTGGAATTTTTAGCCGTTGAAAAATCTACAATTAAAAACATCAAAATTCAATGAAAATTCTCATGAAAAATTCAATCCGACGAAATATTTTTTGTTGAACTTTACATTGAAAAATTTCGACAAAAGTTATAGAATTGATAATACATTTGAATTGCAGTTGGAACTCCATTTGAATTTTCCACTGATATTTCATTATTTAAGTGTAGTGATGTGTTATTATATCAAAATTTATGTCATCCTTTAGTATGATCAAAATATAGTATGACAAAATAAATCCATATATATGGCGTCTTCGCTTGTATTTTCTTTTATAGAGTAAATTGATATTCTAATTTGATGGAAAATATATATATATATATATATATATATATTATCATTTTGTTTTTTTATTAATTAATTTTTTTCAAGAACAATAGTATATATTCTCTTGGTCAAAAATGAAATTATGAGAAACCTTTTTGACACGAAACTTGGACTGCAGGCTCAGAACTTGAGAAGTGATCCATATTACCTGAATTGCACCAACAAAGAATGCAAGAAGCGGTTGTTAGGAAAATGCGTGATAAGGACGTGTTCGGCGACTCTAAGGTTTCACGTCGTCAACATACGAACAGACATCGAATTCGTGCTGTTTGGCGGCGGCTTTGACACGCCTTGCATTTTGAAAACATCTCAGCCTCTGAGCTTTGCCAACCCAAACAGTCCCTTGTACGGACACCTGTCGTCGCCTGATTCGACGGGAACTAAGGTGCGTATATATGCTCGTCTTTGCTAATATACGTGTGATTGTTGACTAAATAAATATTTACGGTCTCCGGGTGTAAATTTTCCTTTTTTTTTTTTTTTCTTTTTCACTTGCCTCGGTAAAATTTTATTACAACATATTATTCACTCAAAATTATTTTGGCAAAGTTTTAGGCTCAAAGTTCTGTTGCCTGCAGGATTAAATAACAAAAATGAAAATATACAAAAGGAACTATTTATTTAATTAGATAAAAAGGATTAATTGTACAGTTAACTCTTCTACATGATTAAGGATGATTGAATTGTTGAAATCCACATATATACATTTAATTGATTAAATAGTTAATTAGCAAGTAGCCCGTGTGATGCATAACACAAAGTTGTTATATAAGTCATGTTCCATAGAGATTTCCGTTTATGCCTTAAAAACAATAGGATTTGGATCATTTATTTTCTATATCTTTTAATTATCGTTGTTTTAGTCCCAACGTGAAACAAGAGTCTATTAGCTCGCTAGCTTGTAAATTAATTAATATATTATCCTTCTAATGCGTTTATACTAATATAAATTTGATTTTAGAACATACATTTATTCCTCGAGATACGAAAAAATAACGATTTTACTTGTTTATATTCATTATATAATACCCAATTATTATTTTGTTATAAAGTTTATTGTCGTATAGAAGCAGTCTTCTTTCTATTTCTATGTAATGTAAATATTTATGTATAGACGTTATACTATTTATAATGTAATTAATTTAAATTATGTGAAAAAAATAAGATAAAATATTGTATAATTATTTATAAAATATATACACATATTTTTTCATAATTTAATATTTATAATAAATTAGCAACTTTTATTTAACAATTGCAAAAAACTAAGCCACTTCTATAATCAAGAGATTTTTCTCGTTTTTCATCCTAAGGCTTTATAGTTTATTTAGCATACTATGCGATGCAATATGAGAATCTCATTATACAAATAAGTCAAAATAAAAAATGAGAAAATTAAATAATCATGACTGACAATAATATGGAAATAAATCTCATGTTTAATTCTAAAAAATAGTTAATATATTTCAATTTTTTTATCTAGACATTAGTAAAACTACTCAATGTATTTGGTCATTATCTCTTAAACGGGTAAATAGTAATTTGGAGAATAATTTATTTTTATATTTAATGAAATAAACTTTAAGCAAAAATTAAAATATACAACTATTAATTCACCAACTTGATTTCGTCTAATTAATTGGAAGAAAATAATTACATAACTTGTCACGATTTATTTTAAATGAAATATCAATATTTGGGAAAAAAAATTTTAAAATATCTTTTTCATGTTACATTGACCAAAATATTATTAACTTGAATTACAAAAAATTAATTTTTTAATTTATTATAATGGATATCAATGAAATTATTGCAGATGTTAATAAAATTATTGAACGAAAGAATTTGATTTGATCAGAGTTGAAAACGTTTATATGTATATATTTAAAAAGTTTTCAAATGAGATATATCTTAAATTTTACCAACTATGTTTTGCTCTATTTCACTAAATTCTTATTCTCTTTATATAGAGAGATAGATATAGATTTGAAATTAATTAAAAATGGCAGATGAGGATAACTTGGGTGAGTGGAGATAATAAGTCTCAACAAGTCCGTTATGGAAATGGATCCAGTACAGCCACAGCCCAATCCAATGTTTCTACCTTCTCACGGGATGACATGTGCAAATGTATGTATGTATTACATTTTATTTTATTATCTATAGAATGATCAAATTATAATTATTATTAAAATGAACACTACAAATAACTTTTTTTCTGAAATAATAAAATGGAGGAAATGTGTTACATAAGCTCAAGTTTCTTGCTCATATCACCATAAGCAACAAAACAAGACACATTGATTTATCAATTTACTAGTACAATATACACACTATTACACAAAGATTATCCAAAATATTATATACTTGTAATTATTATGTTAATGGTACATAATATTATTTTTAATATTTTTTTTCTCATTTTATGATGGTTATACATGAAATGTATAAAAATCAAATACAATTTTTTATATTCTAAAAATAAATTAAAAAACATTATAGAAGACCTAGGCGTGACCAACTTGCCAATCGCCTGGACCGCTTAATTCGCCAAGATGGCACCTAATTACACGACCACCTAAACGAAATTTGGCGCACTCGGGTGCCGCCTAGCATGATTCATAGAACACTGATATCAACCACAAAATCGACTTTATTTTTTACTCTGAGTTAGATTCATTTTTTACTTTTCCCGCAGTTAAAAATCTAAATGTTCGAAGTCGATTCTAATTTTGCACGAGTTTTTGTAAAAACACATTCAATAAGAATGTCTAATTAGATGTACTAGTATGTACCCCGTGCGATGCACGAGACAGAAATATTAAATGAGTTATTTTCACATACTTTGTCCATTTAAGTATATAAAACAATAGGATTATCATCTATTTTTCATCTCTTTTAATCAGCGTTAAGTATAATAAACAATATGGTTATAATATATTTTGCACCTCTTTTAATCAACGTTATTTCTTTAGTCAAAATATTAAAATAATTAATATATTATTTCACTAACACTTTTATCGTAATTTAAATTTGATTTTAGTATATATATATTCCTTGATATAAGAGAGAATAACAATATTCTTGTTCATTATATAATACTTAATTATTATTTTATTATACACTTTATGTCATATAATGTCACTATTTATTTATAAAGTTATAGAAGTTAACATATCATATAATTTACGGTATATCAGTTTATTATAAACGATATAAAATTAGCTTTTTCAAGAGAACATAAAATTTGTATGTTTAGACAATTAAAAACTCCAAAAATATATATTAACATATGTAAAATTATCTAAACTTTTCTATATTATTATTAAAAGATGTGAATTCACCTAAATTTTTTTAATTTTTTTTGTAAAAAATTTTTATCTAAAAAAATTAAAGTTTACATTTGTATGAAAGATGTTTTCTGAATGTGACATGATAAAATATTATATAAAAGTATCTAAAATATTATAAGCCTAAATAAATACATTATAAAGTTTTTAAAGAAAATTTACCTAGTATATATAAAATAAATATTGACATGATGCTGAAAATTACAAAGATACTACCGTACCTGAAAATTTGAGTATACAAGATTTCAAAATTATTATTATTATCTGGTTATTATCTCTTAAATGGTAAATTATACTATTAATTTGAAGAACAATTTATTTTTTATATTTAACAAAATAAAGCTTAAGAAACAAATATATTGGCAAAGATTAATTCACCATCTTAATTTTGTGTGATTACTTGGAAAAAAAAATTCTACCTAACCTGTTACGATTTTCAATAAATATTTTTGGATAAAAAGTGAATATTTGTGAAAAAAAAACTAATATTATGGTTGGAACTTAAAATATGGTGTAATATTATCTTGACCAAAATATTATCACTGGATCACAGAAATCAATCATGTAATTTATTATAATGAATATCAATGAAAGTATTACAAATATTAATAAAATAATATTTATCTTGACCAAAATATTATCAACATGAATCACGAAAATCAATATTGTAATTTATTATAATAAATATCAATGAAAATACTGCAGATATTAATAAATTTATTGAAGTAATTATTTGATCATATGTTATTTGATCTTATTTGAAAACATGTAAATAGAAGCAATTAATGCATACATTTAAAAAATTTCTAAAAATAGTATGCATTAAATGTTTCCTAAATTTTTGATACTATTTTTAGCAAATGGTAATTCTTTTTATATATATATAGATTTATACAATTCTACGTACATTCGGCCGCCTTGTTGAGTACCTGAGCTTACAAATTACAAGCTCGAGCTCTATTTGAGTTCAAATTCGAGGTCCTCAAGCTTGAGTCGAGTTGTTTACTCCTTGTTATATTCTCTCGCAATCCTACTTGGAAGCAACGATTAATGTGAATAATTTGAGAATTAAAAATCTAATAAATAGCCCAATTTAACTATTATGTTCAGGTGTCTTTATTAAAAGTCCGGCCTCTGATTTTGGGTGGCACGACCCTGGCTACATCCATACCGCAACCATGACCGGGATACGTCCTTCCACCTCTTACTCCTATGTGTATGGAAGGTAATTAATTAACACTATTTTTAACACTATTACCTATAACATCATGAAAAATAGTAGTATCCCCTATATATTAATTCAAAACGTGCTGAGCCTAAGTGTTAGGCTCGCACGCTTTGTAATCCAACATGTTACAATATCATGTTTCGTATTTAGGTTCGGATAAAAAATCAGGAAAAAAATTGGCTTGAAAAGTGACATAAATAATTTTTCCACAATACATCACTGTCCAATCAATCTCTCATTGATTACCAAATTTGTTTTGAATTTAAAGATCACACATTTTTTTCTCTTATTTCATTTTTTCAGTTTAAAGATCACTTGAATGTAATCATTGAGTTAATAATGTATCTTTTATTTGACAGGGATCAATGTCGAGTTAATAATGTTTCTTTTATTTGATAATTGAGTTAACAATATTTTATTTGATAATTATTTTGTTGTATTCTTATTTGATAATTGAGTTATCTAACACCATATCTACATTAATTTTTTTGATATTTTTTTATTTGATAACTGAGGTTAACAATGTTTCCAAATTTTTGGCGAATATACGGTAACACATTTTTTCACACTCCAAAATCTCGAATTGAATTCGTAACGAGATTCTTACACCATATTCTGACAAGATTTCTTCAATTTATTTATTTTGAATATACCACAATACTAAATTCTTTTACTTTTTTTGTTCAAATTATTTTTTCATGCACCAGTGTAGTACACGAGTGTCGTATTATAGTACTCCTTAAATTGAAATGATTTATCTTCTTATTCTCTCTTTTTTTATGTGCATAAATATATTTTCAGTGATTTGGTTGGATGGAGTGAAAATATTACATTCAAAACACCGCCTTTTGCCGGAGCCAATGAGCTCAAGTTTATTGCATATGGCGACATGGGCGAGGCTCCACTTGACTCCTCAATAGAACACTTCATGCAGGTACTCAAACAAGTTCAATCAGCAATATTCATTAATGATACCAAAAGTGCAAATACGACATTCTAATAGGACCAAAATGCAAATTAATTTCTGCTCTAAACATGCAGCCGGGATCACTTAGAGTCGTCAAAGCTATGGCTGATGACGTGTCATCTGGCCTTGTCGATTCCATTTTCCACATCGGTGACATAAGCTACGCGACGGGATTTCTTGTAGAGTGGGACTACTTTATGAGCCTCATATCCACACGACTCGCCTCCCGAGTTCCTTACATGACCTCAATCGGGAATCACGAGAGGTATCTATCTATTTATGAATATGATGCATGTGTTCACTTCAGTTCAGACGAACACAAATCATTCAATCAAATAATAAATCATTTTGCAGGAATTATATGGACTCTGCATCGCTCTACAAAACAACAGACTCGGGAGGTGAATGTGGAGTTCCTTACGAGACTTATTTTCAGATGCCAACGCCCGGAAAGGACATGCCGTGGTACTCTATTGAACAAGGGCCTGTGCATTTTACGGTTATCTCAACCGAGCATAATTGGTCTGTTAACTCGGAACAGGTATTTTAGTCTTAATAATTCACAACAGTTTGTCTGAATGTCCGTTAACAGTTCGAGCTTGTTCTAACATTTTTTTTTCTTAAATTTTAGTATGAGTGGATGAGAAAAGACATGGCTGCAGTGGACATAACAAAAACACCTTGGATAATATTCACAGGGTATGTATGCTTCATATGTTTCAAATAATCCTTCTTTTCGACCCGTAATTTTCATTTCAAAATCCGATATTGAAAAAAAATAATATATGAGCAAAAATATTTAGGCATGTTTGTGGATGGATTGTAGGCATAGACCAATGTACACCACCAATGAAAGATACACCGGATTGCATAATGTCGACCACATGTTCATTGATGCAATTGAGCCATTGCTACTACAGAATAAGGTAAAATCGAGCTGGGTATTAATTAATTTCGTTTTAATTGTAATGCACCAAAGTTAAAAATGATCTTTAATTAATTACTTTCTCGCGAGTTTGATTGGGATTCTTTTGCAATATGACCTAACTAACTAGGTGGATCTGGTTCTGTTTGGGCACATACACAACTATGAGAGAACTTGTGTCGTTTATCAAAAAATGTGCCTATCAATGCCGACAAAAGAAGGGAATGGGATTGACACGTATGATAATACTAACTACTCAGCTCCGATTCATGCCATTATTGGGATGGCCGGATTTACGATCGAGGAATTTCCAACAGATGTATGTAGGCCTTAATTTACACCAAACTCATAAATGCATCGGTTAAGTTGCAATATTGAGGCCTTCAAATTTAGTTATTATATTCTTCCTTTTTGTGTGCAGAGGAATAACAACTGGAGCTTGTCTAGGATTGCTCAGTTCGGGTACATTAGAGCGCATGCTACTAGGAATGAACTTAAAGTCGAGGTAGGTATATAGAAAAATACCGTTAGCTATAAGTCTTAGCTTTTGTTTAGAAAGAGATGCTCGCTCGTGCACACAAACAAGATTCGAATCACAACCAAATAAAGTAGGCCATATACATCTAAATTGGATTTAAAAGTGATCAGCTATATATATGCTTAATAGTATTTTACATTTTTTTGACAAATGCATGTTTCAATGCAGTTTGTGAATGCAGATACTAAGGAAGTTGGTGATAGTTTCCGAATCATTAGGAACTGAAAAGAAAGGTAGTTGCTGCATAGATTACATATCTCGAACACGGTTGTTCTACAGAAGACTATCGGCAATTTGTATTCAATACAAGATCGAGAAAGTCATCTTGATTGATATGAGTTGTGCACTCTGCCACTCAGACATGCTACTATACAAGTGCTTACAATTTTTCGACGATATGAAAGGTGAAAAAAGTAAACCATATATTATTTTTATGCAATGTTTTGACTGCAAATTATACGAATGTTTCTATATGGTCAAAATACAGTGAGATTAAATTTGAAACTCAGTATAAGTTCCTCTAGTACTCTTCGTGACCATTCTTGTTGAGATATCAAGAACTATAGGCTCTATTTTATAATTCAGATATGCATTACAAAAAAATTATCATATTCCAACAAAAAATTCTACGGTAATATATTTTAATAAAATTTCAACGAATATTCTAATGGTATAGCTATTTTTTTATAACACCCAGCAGTG